TGGAAAGGAATTTTTCGCACGGAAAGGAATTTTTCGCACACGAAGGAATTTTTCGCACGGAATAATCGCACTTTAATTATCTTCGCAAAATTTGGATCCAATTTGTTTCTGACTATTATTTCAGTGAGGAGACCTTCATCATATGAGGTAACGATTCCTCCTACACCGTTAATAGCAAATGGAACTTTTTCGCCTTCCAGCATCAAGTCTGGCGCAGCTTATGTCAAGCGAGTTTTTATCTGCACCAGAGTCAATGATAGCATTAATAATACGTCGGTGGCCTGTTTTGGGATTTTCTATCTCCACAGCCACATAATAATGTAAAGACGTATTTTTAATTGCTTTGGAAAATCGATTGAAGCACCAATTAGCATTTGAGAGAAAGGCGGTTAGTCAATCTTGTGGAGTTTCCTCCACTTCGACCTCCGATTCCGAATCTTCGCCTTCGGTCTCAAATTCTTCGACATCAGTTTGTAGGAAGGTTTTAACGTTTTGCACCTTACCATCTTTCTCGCGATGCAATCTAGCATGATGGTTCTTCCCACAATAACATTTTTTAGGATTAGGGCATTCAGATCCCATATGACCGACTTTTAGACAGATGAAACACATCTTCTTGTCTCGAACGATTTTTAGTCGATCTTTTATTAATCCCTTTAAAAATATTTTGCATGTTTCAGCCAAGTGTCCAGGCTTGGAACATACAGGACATTCTTCAGAAGAGTTATCCGAGACAAAAAGTTTTCCAAACGAAGGTTTACCTTTTACAGCATTCAATGACCTCTCGTACCTTTTTGCAGATCCGGATTCTTCTTTTGTCCAGGATTCCATCTTGGACGTACGCACGGATAATATGTCTCTACGTGCTTTGTTCAGCCAATCTCTGAAGTTGGTTGCATTTGAAGCCTTACCTGTGAGATTAGCATTCTCTTTAAATCCCAACACGATATCTTCATCAAATTTTGAAATTATGATGCTGAATACCAATCGATCGTCGTGTGGAATTCCTAGCAGTATAGCATGGTTGGCAAATTCGTCAAACAACCTTATGAATGTCTCAATATTCGTCGTTTGTTTTAAATTGCCAATATATGGGGCGCTGCTTAGGTTGTTCCATACCACATTGTACAGCAACTCCTCATCTCCATACTCTTCCTCTAGGTTTTTTATACGAGATACATACCCAGTGGCAGCATGAGTCAATCCACGGGAGATCTTCAAGACTACGTCTTCAGGCAGAGCATTGTATAAGGCTACAATTTTTCGCGATGCGGTTTCTCTTACCTTAAAGTGAACTGTTTCCAAGAAAGCTGTTCGCCAGTTCATATAGTCTCTTATGTCACCTGAAAACTTGGGTATTGCTTTGGCTTTTTCTAGATTGTTTATATCTATCTCCAAATGAGCAGGTAAAGGTACCCTGGGCAATTCCCAAGCTAAAGGTAGCTTGAACCCGTCTAAATCGCAAGGTACCCTCTCCCCTCGTGCGAAGTTTTCACTTCGTGGCGTTTGTATATTTTGCCGGGGAGCTGGGTCTTGATTCGTCAATTTAAGCGGATACAGAGATGGAGACGGCAATGGCTCAGGAATATTCGCTGGATTTTCCATTAATGCGTTTCTCCGGTTAACCAGTTGTTGGACGGCTGGTAAAACATTACTGGATGGGGGCAACTGCTCCACGGGCGAATTTTCTTCGTCTTCCTCGTCCAGATCGTCGCTGTCTTCACAATCGACTTTTTGGCGTTGGTTTCGAGTTGGATTGAAAGCCATACGCCGAATTTCGTTTTCGATCTGTGAAACAGTATTAAGATACCTATTGCTTACTGAGAGTCCGTTACCCGTCTTTTTAGTGGCAGCGATCCTCCTTGCGTTGTCTAGAACTCTTTCTAGAAACGTCGTGATGTAAAGCATAGGTTGAAGGTAGGGCACATAAGTGGCGTTCCAGTCTTCCTTCATGGCTATAAAGTTGCATTGCAAGTCATCGATTAATTCTTTAGCAATATTTACCCTATCGTCCAAACTTTCAATGGTGGGTACATCGCTGATCGCATGACCTATGGCAGCAACAGATCGTTGGGCAAAATCCGCCTTGTACGTGAATGGCGCAAATTTGTCCGACATCGATCTTTCACGAGAGGTCCCTTCTGCTCCGTCGTTGCTTGGGTTGACGGGTAGAACTTCGTTGCTTAGGGAAGGAGTCTTCTCACTTCCATCAAGTCCATCTTGGACCACACTTCCAGCATCAGCTGGGCTTTTTCCTCTTCCAGACATTTCTGAAAGGCTTATTCGGTGCGTCAATACGCTAAAGGGTTAACAGGTTTTCCGGCCTTAACCGTTGGGCTCCAGATGTCGAGATTTCACTCAGGTCGTAGCTATCAGGGCTGTTTTTCCGGACCAAAAATCTCGTGGATTAAACCAGTACCAAGTTAACCATAAAATTCCCCCAAAGAAATAGACCAATTATTTTTGGGGCAGAAAGAGGCTGATCACTGGACAGCCGTTTATATTTCTGGCCCCTCAAAAGATGACCTCCTGTACCAGGAACGATGGCGCAACCTGTGAATACAGGGTTTAATGCGTTTGCCAAAGTTCCTATTTGGCCAGAGGCAGAAGTTCAACTCAGATCTGACGATCAAGAGTCTACGTCTTCTGACTTTTGTGGTAATTGGGTGTCTCTTTGAAGAATCCTTGCTTTGGCAAATACAAGTTGCACTAAAAAGGTATTTTCCGATCACAATTGCAGGGAATATCACCGTTCACAATCAGGCTGCTTTTGCACTGTCTAGTGACAGTTCAGGAATCCCAAATCGAACTTGCAAAAATAGCAAACGTCCGAATTCGGGAATAAACAACAAAAACCTGCCAATTACCACAAAATTATCAGCCGCTTAAATTGAGGAGACAGAAAAAAGAGGAGGGAATTATTCGAAGTGCTGTAACTTCGCTTTCTAGCTGTAAGTTCAACTTCGAAGCTGACTCATCCTCTCTTTTTTCTACACTCCCCTCCGATTTGAACTGGCTGTTGTTCAAATCGTTAAGTTACACGACCTGATATGAAAGGAGCTCAATGTGGGGCTATAATTGTCCCCTTCGATTTGCATGAGAAGGAATTTTTTCGCGTAATTTTTTAAGATTCCTTCTATAGGGCATCGGTAGAACATCCGCCTGCCAAGCAGGCGGCCCAGGTTCGACTCCCAAGATGCCTTTTAGTTGGAATCTTTTCGCATGCGAAAAAATTCCTTTCTCAATTCCCCGTCATAAAGGATACTGATGGTACAGCGGTCGTGCAACAGGTAAGTTCGAACTTGAAAGGTCTCCTTTACATCGTAACAGTATACGCACAAAGTTTAACTCCTTCATCTCTTAAATAGAAATTGCATAGGAGAAGACCTTTCAAACTCGAAACTTCAAGGTGTGAACATGGTACAATAAAATTACACACATAATTCACACATAATTGTCTTTTTTACTGGACTCCAGCGTTGTTGTAGAGGATCTCCAGCTCCTCTTCGGCCACCTTGATCCTCTCGGTCAAGTCCCCCAACAATCGATTCCCATTGTTGAGCATAGCCCGCAAAGACTTTTGCTCGTCCCTGAAATGGGCCAGGTCTGCCTTTCGTCGTTGGATTTGTATGGCTAGAGGAGTATAAGGACGTTTTGCTGCTCGTCCTCCTCCTCGGCCATGGACCGACGATGATCGGTCGCGTTTCCCTCCGCGACCACGACCTCCACCACGACGGCTGCGGTCTCCAGCTTCCCCACGTAGACTGAAGGCTGATTGTATCATGGCTTGACACTGTTCAGCCGTCATCAGTTGCCCGGGGGTAATGGCATTCTCTTGCGGTGCTGGAAACACCGGTGGTGGTTGGAGGGCAGGAGATTGAACTGCCTCGTAGGTTCCAGAGGTGACAGTGGATGAAGGCGTCGTCACCATGTAAGGATCCTTAGGGAGGTTGAAATTGAACCTCCCTGAGTGAAGGTTCAAATTAGCGGTGGCAGATGGAAGGGTCTCCATCTTCTCCACCGTCTCCTTGTCTTTAAGGGCTTCTTCCCTCTTGAGCAGATCTTGCTCCTTTTGCTTGATGACTCCCGCCTGCTGTTTCATCATCGTTTGAAAATTGGCGGTGAGTTCTTGTTGAGCAGCTGCGATCTGCTCAGCAGCTTTCTTCTCCTTGTCCATCAGTTGGCGCTGGATGGATTCGGAGATATAAGCCTCCTTTTCCTGGGGGGTGAGGGTGGCCCACGTATGTCCAGGGTTATTGCCTTCGAATTCCAATCCGAAGGAGGAGGTAGGAGTGGGTACAGCTCCTGGCAAAGCTGCCCCATCGTAGGTCGAGTTCCCGTCTGAAAATAAAGGTTTGGCCCAAGCATTATTGTTCTTGACTTCTTTGATAGGCAATTGACTAGCGTAATGCTTAATGGCTATAATGATCAGACTAGAAATTCCCTCTTCTTTGGCCACCTTTTGACGAAACTCTGGTTCGACATATTCGAGTTCGCACATTACTTTTGCGAACCAAACTATTGCCAAAGAAGCTGAGAGGGAGGAAGCGAACAAAAAATTGCGCAAGTATTCGTCGTGCTTTTTAAAATTCACGTGTTCCTTGCTTCGGGCAGTTTTTTGGTAAAAGTCATCCTCCGAAGGGTGGGCTTTGACCGGTTCCTTTAATAAGTCAAACCGTTTTCGTTTGAAGCAAGCACAAGCTTCTTCTCCATTGAAACGTGGGGGGGGATCAACGACGGGCTTAAGATCCAAGGCAAAACTCCATAATTCCCCCAGTTCGAAATGCCCTTTTAGCATCAAATGGAGACCATGTGCTTCCAAACTGAGTTTAGAATGTTCATCCGTGATAATCTTTACGATCGAGATATCACAAAAGATGGACATTAATTCCCCCAAAGCTATATCAAGGTTTTGAGAATACCCGCTGTCTTTCAGCCTGAGCAAATTAAAGGCGTACACCTTGGGGGCTCTTGCGAAACCTAGTAAGAGGAAACGGTCCTCTTTGTCATCGGGAATAAAAGTTAGATACATAGGGTCTCGTTTTCGAGCCAAATCCCTAATTTCCCTGCTGACGGATCGCAGTTGATTTTTCACCATCACGAACTCAACCTTTTCGTCTTTTCCCTGGAAACATCTCGGGTTCCCAAGGTTTTTTCCGACGATAAATTCAGCGTCGATCCACTGGTCTTCTTCAGCTGACTTCGCATTCTGAAGTTTGGTGGTACGCATGAGCTCGTTTGAGACAATCTTCCTCTTAGTTGGGTTAGTTTTTTTGGTTTTGGGCGTGGCTCCAGTCCCTTCAAAATTTATTCCCGATTTGCGTCGGGTTTCGTCGTTCTCCGAAGCTATTTTGGGGAGAACTTGGACGATATTTAATTTTGTGGACTTACCGGTCATTTCCGGGCCTTTTTCTTTGTCTATTCTGGCTTTGAATAGACGGTTTGATCGTTTTCAATCGCCTCGGTATTCGATTTTTTCCAAGCCAACTCTGTGTAGCACAGTATCCACAAATCGAATGATGGCTGCGGAAAATTGGCGGGAAAATATTCCCTGGAGGCAGTCAGGTGAAAAAGGCTGTTTTGGCAGACGAGACGTCAAAGTCCCTTTAATCCAAAGCTGTTGGGACAAGAGCAATTTAGAGTTCGCTTAAGTTGCTCTGAAAATTTTACTCTATGGTCTTAAGCTTGGTTCCACCTCTGGGTTGGATCTTTGGATTGAATTCATCAACTAGATCTATGAATTCGATTTTGTTTTTGAATTCTATCTATGGATCCCTCATGTTTGGGTTTTTCGCGTCACTTCCTCTTCGGTTTCGATCGAGACGAAGGTGTGAGATTTTTTCCAGGTCTTTTTCTCTTCTAGATCGAGTTGCGAGATGGCTCATTGGAGTCAAATTGGTGGACGAGGGCCGAACCCAATCTCATCCACGATGGCCGTCGCGTTGAATGATGGCACAATCCGTGCGCTTTTCGAGGAGATCGCGGATCCTTCAGGTGATGAATTTTGGGAAATTCGCGTTTCTCGGCAGAGGCATCATCCGATCTTTGGCGTTCAATTCGTCGGTCGGATTTTGTCTCTGCTGACCCACTCTGATCCCGATTTCCGTCTTCTAATTTTGGACGGTATCGAAGCTTTGTGTCGCAGGGCCACCTTGCCACATCAGGATCTTCCGCGTCCATGGAGTGAGTGGATATTACTCCCATGTTTCAGCGAGCATCTGACGGCAGCAATGTTAGGCCAGGACGAGGAGGTGGGGATGGGTGTGGCATTGCTGGTGTCCGAGCTAGCTGTCGATGGCTTAGGGACGAGTTTGCCACGTGCCGAATTTTTCTTGCGTGGTTGGTTCCAAGTCTTCTTTAGGCTTGTGGACCAATCTTCGGATTTGTTTCAAATCGAAACCTTGTTGCGACGCATGGCAATTCTAGTCCGAGGGGGGGTTAGGATTTATGATGAAGAGGGTTTCTTCGGAGATCCTCTTCATGAGGCTACTTTGGAAAGGGTTTATAGACCCTTTTTCCAAAGGATAAGTCCTCCTCAGCACGTTGTATGGCGAAATAGCGATACAGCTGAATCCGTGTTGTTGGTGGTGGCGGCTTTCCTCGCTAGCCCTCGGGCGGTGAGGTGTGCGTCGGAGTTCGACTTGGTCCGGCGTTTCGAGCCGGATAGTCAATAGATCAAGGCGGAATTTTAAGTCAGCGAGGTGGCTGAAGTTCGTCAGGTTATAATGTGCTAGTTTTGCCAGTTTTTTAATGATCGGCAATATACATTGATAACCCACAGCCTTCGGGCGAAGTATAACCTTGTCTTGAATTGTTGAACAATCTTCTTTTATGTGTTTCAGGTGAAGATGGTGTCAATCTACTAACGATTTGAGCGTCATCGTTAAAATTAAGATTGGACCCCCCCCTGTGGTCAAGCGTGGTGATTTCAACGCTAGCGCGGCCATAAATAATCTTTCGGCCCCTTTGTGGTCAAGCCCCCTTGTGGTATAGCGTGGTGATTTCAACGCTAGCACGGCCGATAATTTATTTATGGGCGTGGTGATTTCAACGCTAGCACGGCCAAAAATAATTATTTATGGTCGAGCGCGGATTCTTTCTTTCCTTTTTTGCGCGCGCGCAAAGGAATTTTTCGCACGGAAAGGAATTTTTTGCGTGCAAAAAATTCCTTTTGCGTGGGAAAATTCCTTCTTTCCTTCCTTTTTGTCACTTTCGTGCGCGTGCGCAAGGAATTTCTCTTACGGAAAGGAATTCTTCGCGTGGGAAAACTCCTTCTTTCCTTCGTTTTTGTCACTTTCGCACGCGCGTGGAAAGGAATTTTTTGCACGGAAAGGAATTTTTCGCACACGAAGGAATTTTTTCGCACGGAAAGGAATTTTTTGCGTGCGACCTATTTTTTGACCGTTTTTTGTAAAGTATGGATTTTGTATTGAAACGATCTTCTTGTTTTGTACGGAGATCGTGACAACGATAATAATAGTCGTTTTTCTCCCCTCAGTTTTGACTTATGTCAAAACTTTTTATTATGGGCACTAGAGAATTTATACCACGTCTAATTTCTTTTCCTTTAGATCGTAGTGTTGCTATACGACTTATACCATCTTTACCTTTTTCCAGGTTTTGGATTATAGCGATTGGCCAATGCCCTTTTTTGCTATTTATATCCTTTATAAGAACAACGTCTCCTATTCCAAATTGATTGCCTTCTTTGTGCCATTTTTGTCTCATATTAAGACTAGGCAAGTATTCATAAGACAATTTTTTCCAAACATTCGTTAAGTATTTTAACAAATGTGTGTATCTCTTTTTAGGATCTTTGGATACGGATTTTGGAAGTAGGATGTCACTTGTTATTTCACTTCCGATCATGAAATGAGCAGGAGTGAGGATCGACTCGTTTCCATCAGCTGATACATACTGTAGTGGACGGGTATTTATGATCCTTTGTATTTCAGCCATTAGAGTGAGTAACTCTTCATCATTTAAGCATATGTTTATATCTGGTATGCTTTTGAAAATGGCCTTTTTTATCAAGCTTATAAATATTTCGAAATGTCCTCCAAACCATGCAGCTTTTGGTGGATTGAAAATCCATTCAATTTCGTTTTCAACTAGCTCTCGTTTAAGTTCTTCTAGTTGTTTGGACATTTCCAAGAAATTGCCTGCATTGTCGGTATTTACGAGTTTTGGAGTTCCGAATCTAGCTTGAAATCTGGTGAAGGCTAGAACTGTTGATTTCGTCGATTTATCGACTGTTACTTCTATATGAACAGCTCTAGTCATCATGCACACGAATACAAGAAGATACCTTTTCTCGTCCTTTTCGCCATTATTGACATGGATTATCCCCATGTGGTCTATTCCGACATTGGCAAATGGCGTCAGACGTGAATTTGGATTAGGTACTCTTGATTCGGGCAATAATCCCATTCGTCTAGGTGATGTTAATGCATTTTTCTTTTTGCAATAGTTGCATTTTTTCATCATCCTTTTGCACAACGAAAGCCCTTGCATAACACTGTATTTCCTCTTCAAGTCATTATATAATGCTTGATAGCTGTTGGAATGTAAATTTTGTATATGTAAATCATATACTATTCCTTTAGCTAATGACGAGTCTTTTCCCAGTATTATAGGACATCTTACTTCTTCTGATAGAAATTTGGTCGTTTGTAGCCTTCCAAACATTCTGATTATGCCTTTTCCATCTATTGCAGGGCTCAATCTCAGGATGTTGGAGTCAAACGTGTATTTCTTAGGTTGGATTAAAGCCTTTTTTAATTGCAAGAGAGTTTCTTCTTGATCTTCAATCAATAATCTCTCTTTGGCTTTTCTCAACTCTTCAGATGTCAAGGCAGGTATGGTAATTTGGATCGAAGTATTCCAACTGTATTTTCCATACTTGATTTTGACTATTTTGACCAATTTTTTCTTTTCTTTTATGTTTTTGATGAATCGAAAAACATACCCTGCTATTCTGGTCATCTTTTGGAAAGATGCGAATTTGTTACGGGGTCTTTGAAAAATTGGCATAACTTCTTGATGTTGGCAGGTGAGCATAATTACGTTTTCGTTTTCCTTTTGACTTTCTTCGAGTATAACTTCTCTAGTGTCTTTGGTAAACGATTCCCATGTGCTAACATCTTGTTTCAAGAAATTAGGTCCTTCTTTCCATAGTGCGGATTGACTCAGCTTTTTGACTGAAATTCCTTTTGTAGGTAAGTCAGCTGGGTTCAAAGAAGTATTGACGTATCTCCATTGAGAACATTTACTTTTTTGCAGGATATAGAAGGCTCTATTTTCAACGTATATATCTGGAAAATTTTCTCTGTGTAGCCACCAGAGCACGATTTTGCTATCGCCCCAGTAGTATACGTTTTCCGTTTCGATTTCGTACCAAGAAGCAAAAATGTTTCCCCATTTCACTCCAATTTTAGCAGCTTCCAATTCAGCTCTAGGAATTGAAGGTTTTTGCTTTACCGGTACTACTTTGGCTTTGCAAAATATGAGATTCGTGTAAACTGAATTTTCATACTCAACTCTCATATATAGGGCACAAGCATATGCAACAGCGGATGCATCGACAAAAACGTGAATTTGTTTCGATTTCGCTTTGCATTTTATCTCTGGCATATCCAAACATCTTTTTATTTGAAAATTGTCCAAATCTTTAGTTTGTCTTATCCAGTTCATCCAATCTGCTCTAAGAGGGATTGGAATTTCATCTTTCCAGTCCACTTCGTACGACCATATTTTTTGGAATAAGATCCGAGATCGTATAGTAAATGGAGCTAGAAAGGACAGCGGATCATACAAGGATGCAATCACGCTTAACATCTGTGCTTTGGTGTACTTTTCCTGGTCTTTGCACTCAAATCTGAATGTGAAAATATCTTTTTCAGCAAGATATATGAGACCAAGCACTTTAATCACAGGTAAAGACGTTTCGAATAGAGATTTGTCTGTTAATTCGACATTGGGGGCCTTCTGGTCGTCATCCAATGTGTCCATAATTAACTTACTGTTGGAGGCGAATTTTCTAATTTTCATTCCTACAGTATCGTATATCTCTTTCAGGTGTTCGATGAGCTCTAGGGCAGTTTTTTCATCTTCCACGCTGGTCAGAACGTCATCAACAATAGTGCTCTCCAACATGGCTTTGGCTGCTATTGGATACTTGTCAATATGTTTTCTAGCTGCATCTTTTGTCACTTCGATGCAAACGAATGGAGAAGATCTCAAGCCAAACGTGTGTCTTGTTGACTCATAAATTTGGGGCTGTTGATCGTTTTTTGGTCTCCATATCATTCTAACATATTTTCTATCTTCAGGACGGAGCATTACTTGTAAAAACATTAGTTTTACGTCTCCAGCAACAGTAATTTTCTTAAGTCGAAAATTTGCTAATACCGTTACTACGTCACACATGTTTTTTCTCCCTTGTAAGAGGCCATCATTAATAGCTTTTCCTCGGAATTTAGCTTTGGCATCAAAAACAACTCTTACTTTAGTGGTTGTTTTATCTTCTCTTAATACAGGGAAATGCGCAATGTAATTGACGTCAGTTTCCATCCTGGCTTTTTCGAACGATAGATTGACTCTTTCCCAATATTTGGCTTCAATCGTATCATTCATCATCTTTTCGTACTCCTTTTTGACGTTGGGTTTAGCTTTGAGATAATTTTCCAGAGAAAATAATCTTCTCAAAGTTACGTCAAAATTATTTTCGAGCTTTGGTTCACCTTTTTTCCATAGCAAACCATGCTGTTTATGTCCCTCAACCAACTTAGCTGTCTCAGCCCAAATTTGGTCAGCTCTAACTTCGTTGGGAGTTAATTTTGGCTCGAAATCTTTATTGTCGGTCTCATACCTTTCAATGTCCCACATTTTTATGAGACCTTCTTTTACGGTGTCTTCGTTCCAATTGGCTTCTTCAACGTCGACAAAGTAATTGTCGTTGACGTGAGTTAGCATTTTGTTCAGCTTCTTTTCTTTGCAGCTAACGGGGCCGAAGATGCACCATCCAAGTCTGTATTTCCTGGCTGAAGGTTGATTACCAATTCCTTCCTTGTCTTCCAGACTTATTTGCAAACTTGGATTATCATTTCCAATGATGAGTCGAATTGGTTCGTTTACGAATTCGGCTATCTCAACATCCTTCAAATGATATTTCATTTTCATTGGCCAAATGTTGCCTGCAGGTTTGGGAAAACACTGCACTTTAATTATTTTTGCAAAATTTGGATCCAATTGATTTCTGACTATTATTTCAGTGAGGAGACCTTCATCATATGAGGTAACGATTCCTCCTACACCGTTAATAGCAAATGGCACTTTTTCGCCTTCCAGCATCAAGTCTTTGGCGCAGCTCATGTCAAGTGAGTTTTTATCAGCACCAGAGTCAATCATAGCATTAATTATACGTCGGTGACCTGTCTTAGGATTTTCTATCTCCACAGCCACATAATGTAAAGACGTATTTTTAATTGCTTTGGAAAATCGATTGAAGCACCAATTAGCATTTGAGAGAAAGGCGGTTAGTCAATCTTGTGGAGTTTCCTCCACTTCGACCTCTGATTCCGAATCTTCGCCTTCGGTCTCAAATTCTTCGACATCCGTTTGTAGGAAGGTTTTAACGTTTTGTACCTTACCATCTTTCTCGCGATGCAATCTAGCGTGATGGTTCTTCCCACAATAACATTTTTTAGGATTAGGGCATTCAGATGCCATATGACCGACTTTCAGACAGATGAAACACAGCTTCTTGTCTCGAACGATTTTTAGTCGATCTTTTATTAATCCCTTTAAAAATATTTTGCATGTTTCAGCCAAGTGTCCAGCCTTGGAACATACAGGACATTCTTCGGAAGAGTTATCCGAGACAAAAAGTTTTCCAAACGAAGGTTTACCTTTTACAGCATTCGACGACCTTTCGTACCTTTTTGCAGATCCGGATTCTCCTCTTGCCCAGGATTTCATCTTGGACGTACGCACGGATAATATGTCTCTACGTGCTTTGTTCAGCCAATCTCTGAAGTTGGTTGCATTTGAAGCCTTACCTGTGAGATTAGCATTCTCTTTGAATCCCAACACGATATCTTCATCAAATTTTGAAATTATGATGCTGAATACCAATCGATCGTCGTGTGGAATCCCTAGTAGTATAGCATGGTTGGCAAATTCGTCAAACAACCTTATGAATGTCTCAATATTCGTCGTTTGTTTTAAATTGCCAATATATGGGGCGCTGTTTAGGTTGTTCCATACCACATTGTACAGCAACTCCTCATCTCCATACTCTTCCTCTAGGTTTTTTATACGAGATACATACCCAGTGGCAGCATGAGTCAATCCACGGGAGATCTTCAAGACTACGTCTTCAGGCAGAGCATTGTATAAGGCTACAATTTTTCGCGATGCGGTTTCTCTTACCTTAAAGTGAACTGTTTCCAAGAAAGCTGTTCGCCAGTTCATATAGTCTCTTATGTCACCTGAAAACTTGGGTATTGCTTTGGCTTTTTCTAGATTGTTTATATCTATCTCCAAATGAGCAGGTAAAGGTACCCTGGGCAATTCCCAAGCTAAAGGTAGCTTGAACCCGTCTAAATCGCAAGGTACCCTCTCCCCTCGTGCGAAGTTTTCACTTCGTGGCGTTTGTATATTTTGCCGGGGAGCTGGGTCTTGATTCGTCAATTTAAGCGGATACAGAGATGGAGACGGTAATGGCTCAGGAACATTCGCTGGATTTTCCATTAATGCGTTTCTCCGGTTGACCAGTTGTTGGACGGCTGGTAAAACATTACTGGATGGGGGCAACTGCTCCTCGGGCGAATTTTCTTCGTCTTCTTCGTCCAGATCGTCGCTGTCTTCACAATCGACTTTTTGGCGTTGGTTTCGAGTTGGATTGAAAGCCATACGCCGAATTTCGTTTTCGATCTGTGAAACAGTATTAAGATA